TTTGCCATCACTGTAAATGCAGTCACTATTGTCCTATCTGATGTGCACACTTCTATTGCAAACATAAAGTAAAACTGCAAAATACCAGATATATTTCAAAACTCAAGTGAAATTTCTATCAAAGATAAAAAAAATATATAGGGTCAGATCCTGCAGTTACTCTTGCTGAGTTTCTGGTCCAGTGTCTAGAGCAGTAAAGATTTATATTTAATTTGCTATCTACCCTGTGATTCTGCTCATTCTTGGTTAGCAGTGTCTCTAGGCACAGAAGGACTGGTACCACAGTTTTCTTCTAAAAGAATCCTATGCAGATTATAAGAGGAAGTTGTTCCCTGATCATGTGCCTAAAATGCCTAGAGAACTACTTCCAGCATCAGATGAAGGATAAATGTAAGTTGTATGCTGTTTTGTTTTGTTTTTTTATTTTCTTTTGCATAGCTGCCTTGTAATTTCTATCTGGCCCCTTGGACAACAATCTAAATCTAAACATATTTTGGGAGAAACAATGAGATTGACTTTTTTATCACCTCTGGTTTGTTATACTTCAGTCATTATTACAACTTTCACTGGTCTCGCAGGCCAGGTTTTGCAGATGGCAATTAATTCAATTTACTGGCTAGGTTTTAAGTAGCACTAAATCTCATGTTCTTCTGATGACAGAGTTGAAGTCCTCATGTTGACTGCATTTACTTTATTGGATTAGTGTTAATAACTTATTAGTAACATTCAAGAAACTTGTCTGGCCTTTCTCTTTTGTCCCAAATATTTCCCTATGTGCTCAGAGAGCAAATCCTTTTTAAGAGTCCCATATATACCTTTTGAAGGCAGGATTTCTCATAATATCTGGAAATACACTTCTAGCAGACACAGAAATATCAGTGCAAATGCATCACTTTTGTAAAACTACTAAGCTCAGTTAGGTGAACCAGGGATGAATACTGCTCTCCTTGTTCCTGAATAGACTCTTTCGTTAGGTGAACCAGGGATGAATACTGCTGTCCTTGTTCCTGAATAGACTCTTGCTTCTAATTTAACTGCATTTTAACATTTTAGATTAGGTCTTTACAGATGTGCTGGTGTGTGTAATTTTATTTTCTTGAGTGCTAGAAAGACATGTGTGATATAGTTCTCCAAAAAAACCCAAAAACAAAAAAACAAAAAACACCCATTCCCCCCCCCCAAAAAACCACAACAAACAAACAAGCAAAAAAACCCATGGCCGAATTATGACCTCACACTTGTGACTTGAGTAGCGTTACATAGACATAATGGAAGGTAGAATCTTGTGTCAAACTGTACCAGTGCCCATTGACAGCAGTTGAGATGTGGTTCATACCTCTTTTCCCTGTTTCCCTCTCCTCCCCTTTCCAAGAAGCATTCTTTATTTGTGAAAATACTGTGGTGAATTTTCTTTTAGTGGTTTTAGTAAAAAGGAATGTTATAAATTTTGGTAATGGTTTATGTTGCAAAGTGTAAAGAGTTTCCCAAATGAAAACTCTCTTGAAATGTAATCTCACTTTCCCATCTCTTGTCAATTTGTAAGGATTTGTATATTAATCTAGGCCTTAGAAAGTTTTTTCTATTTAAACATACAGTAACATCTCAAAAATAATAGTTTTCATACTCCCAGTGCTGGTCAGGACAGCCCTGCTGAGAAGAACAGCTAGTACTAGCTTGGTGCTTCATTTATTTGTGCCACAAGATGATCCCTGAAGCCAGGGCCTTCCTTAGGATTTATGGTGCCCTATGCGAGATTATTAAACTAGTGCCCCTATGACTAACTTGCTCTTCTACCCCTACTCCCTCCCCTTCCCAGAAACCCCAGCAGCCAATCTCTCCCCTCAGACTGTGCTGCAAGCTCTCTAGGACCCAGCCCTGCTGTTACTGCTTCCTGTCATTGGCATGCGAAGCATATTTCATTAGGGTGTGCACCCAAATAATTTTTTTTAAATGTACTCTTTGACTCCTCCCCCCATTAGCCACACCTCTGACTCCCGTTAGCCACGCCTCTGGAGGCAACGCTCTTGGGGCAAGGTAGACACATGACCAAAAGTAAAAGGTGTCATGTGACACCCGTCTCCCAAGGATTTTTCCCACCATCCTCCTACCAATAGGGATTAGTTTGGCCCTCACCAACCACCCCTCATGTAACTATCCTGCAATTTCATTAACCCAATGTGTGTGACATTAACTCAGGGGGCGGAGAGACTGGGGGAAGTGTTCGATCTCAGGCTGTGTCTACATTGGTGCCAAAACTTGCTGCCTCTCTACACTGGCCACGAGTTCTTGAGCAAGAACACTGACGTTCTAATGTATGAAATCAGTGCTCCTTGCACAAGAACTCTGATGCGCCCACTCAGGAATAAGCCCTCTTGCGCAACTGTTCTTGCGCAAGAGGCCAGTGTAGACAGGCAACATGAATTTCTTGCACAAGAAAGCCCTATGGTTAAAATGGCCATCAGAGCTTTCTTGCGCAAAAGAGAGTCTACACTGACATGGATGCTCTTGCGCAAAAGCACATCTCTTGTGCAAAGTCACATGCCAGTGTAGATGCTCTCTTCTGGAAGAGTTTTTGCACAAGAATTCTTCTGCAAAAATGTTCTTGCGCAAGATCATGCCAGTGTAGACGTATCTTAAGAGTTTCCTCCCATGAGCAAAATGAATTTTGTGTTGTGCACCAGTACATGTGGCTTGTTTGGATGTGCCATGGTGGCACCCAAGTTATTAATAAATATCTTACAAACCTCTACCTTTTCCCTCTGCTGCCATGTCTCCTCCCCTTGCTCCATCAGCTCCCCTGGTACCTGCTGCCCTCAACCCCCC